GTGCCACATCTTCTTTATCCATTCATCTGTTGATGGATGCTTAGGTTGCTTCCATGTCCTGGCTATTGTAAATAGTGCTGCAATGAACATTGTGGTACATGACTCTTTGAATTATGGTTTTCTCAGTGTATATGCCTAGGAGTGGGATTGCTGGGTCACATGATAGCTCTATTTTTAGTTTTCTAAGGAACCTCCATACTGTTCTCCATAGTGGCTGTATCAATTTACATTCCCACCAACAGTGCAGGAGGGTTCCCTTTTCTTCACACCCTCTCCAGCATTTATTGTTTGTAGATTTTTTGATGATGGCCATTCTGACCAGTGTGACGTGATTCCTCACTGTAGTTTTGATTTTTATTTCTCTAATGATTAGTGATGTTGAGCATCCTTTCATGTGTTTGTTGGCTATCTGTGTATCTTCTTTGGAGAAATGTCTATTTAGGTCTTCTGCCCATTTTTGGATTGGGTTGTTTTTTTGATATTGAGCTGCATGAGCTGCTTGTAGTATTTTAAATCACTTTGCTTATACACATGGCAAAATTAGTTCATCACTTTTAAGTTAGTAACGATAATGAGGAATTATTTATTGGAAGTCACAGATTGAGGAGGTTTTAATTTAGTTTCATCTTTTCCAATGAACTTTTGTAGAATTTCTGCTAATAGCATCCTTGGACTTCCTTTAAGTAGTGAAATAAGCAAAGGAAGGCAGTATGAGAACTCACTATAGAACATATTGAATCATTATAATTCTCAAGTGGTCATATGGGGATAATGGAATCATGTGGCATGTCTTATATTGTGAGTACAGTGATTGGAGATGGAGCAGACAAGGCTCCATGGTGAAGCCCAAAGTTCTGTCCACATGACAACCTTCTCTAGATGCCATGCCACATTAACTTGATATATGGAAGTTTTGTCCCATACAAGATTAACTAGAAGGCATAAGTCTACAATTGCAGTGTTGAGTAGTTAAGGGTTTATTGGCATTCAGGGTCTAGAGATGATCACCACAGCCTCTGTTATACGTTGCTTAGGCATTTCACTATGTGTATGTTCAACCATGTGTTTATAACACCTTTTGATATCCTTTGATAAAATGTATAACTTGCATTTCTGTATTGGAATGCTTTTGAACATCTTTACACCTGGAGTTAGATATATATATATACGTACATATATATCTGATTTTAGTTGTATAAACAAGACCCTTTTAATTTTCTCTGTGATCTCCTAACCAGGAAGTTTAGTTCATGGTTCATAAAGTGTAACATAAGCCATAACATTTAAGCGGTGAAGTATGCAATGACATTTAAATGTTTTACATTATATTTTCTACCTCTGTCTCTGTTATAAGTTGGATCTCCATGTTAGTGGCCAATGTGGACTTTCTTCAGGAGCCAAGCCCTTTATTACTTGAGGGCCTTTGCACCTATTCTTCCATCCTAGTATTCTTCTCCCTCAAATCTTTACATGGTGGATTTCTTCTCATCTTTTGAGTTATAGCTAAATGCCACCTCCTCAGACATTTTTCTCAGGCCATCCTAATCTTGTCCCTTCTCTATCATATGATCCTGTTTATCTCCTTCATAGAAATTATCACACTCTTGAACTATCTTATTTACCTACTTAGTTATGTGTATATATTCTCCTACTAGAATATAAATTACAAAAAAATAACTAAAAGAATACAGTAAGTCCCCTACATACGAACGAGTTCTGTTCTGAGAGCACGTTCATTAAGTCCAATTTGTTTTTAAGTCCAACAAAGTTAGCCTAGATACCCAACTAACACAGTTGGCTATATGGTACTAAACTGTAATAGGTTTATAATACTTTTCACACAAATAATACATAAAAAACAAACACACAAAAAAGAAAACAGTTTTAATTTTACAGTACAATACCTTGAAAAATACAGTAATACAGTACAACAGCTGGCATACAGGGACACGTTCGCATCTTTGAAAGTTCGCAACTTGAAGGTTCATGTGTAGGGGACTTACTGTATACAAAAGAAGCTATGTTACTGAATGGAATAAATGGACATGGAGTAGTTGGCATTATCATTTACTTCATGGTGATAAAATAGTAAATCAGAAAGTTTAAGGGGATTTGCTTAAGATCTTACAGTCATTAAGGGAAAGAACTCAGACTTAAACCCGGAGATACAGAGAAAAAGTTGTTTTTTAGCAGTTCCATTATCTAGTACTCATTCATTCTGGTTTTATGTATCCTGTCATTGCGACCATTGTGTCTAAATCATGTAGTTGTTATCTTTGGATTCTCCTTAAAGTTAAACCAGTTTAACACTCTCTACATCCTAAACTTACAGAATGCTACATGTTAAATCTATTCAACTTAAAAAATTAAAAATTAAAAATGTAATAATAATTGTAGTAATAATAGCAATGATAGTAGTAATGATAGTAATAATAATAATGGCTGTCCACTCATTATCCTTGGTGATAATGTCAGCTACTTTATAGCGCTGTTGTAAGATTAACTAAAACAAGGTATGCAGAAGATCCTAGACTAGGTAATTTTATGTTCTTTTTAAAATTCGGTATTATTTACTTTTTATGTTCTTTCAGTCTTCAGATATTTATTGAGCACTTATCATTTGTATGATAACACTGGTAACACCTTTGGCAAGTTATTTAACCTCCCTACCTCAGTTTCCTCACCCATAAAATGGATATAATAATAGTACTACCTCATGTGAGGACTGAATGAGTTAATATATGTAAAACACTTAAATACTGCCTGGCATGTAATAGGTTATAGTACTTAAAAGTGTTATTATTTTCTAGTCCTATGAAGAAAACTTATAAATCTTTACTGAGAGACATAAAATACTTGAGTATGAGACATGACATATTCCTAAAAGGTTATACTCAGTAATGTGGAAAATATCAAATATTTCTAAACTTATGTATAAATGAGATAAAATTTCAATCAGAATTCCAAAGAAATTTTTAAAAATTGAAACTGTTGAAAATAATTCTAAGGGCCTACCAGTTACTGAAACATTAAAAAACAAACAAACAAACAAAAAACCACAATGTAGTAATCAAGACAGTATGATGCTGGCAGAGAAGAAAAGGAAAAAATAAGTGGAATTATTTGGAATCAGAATTAGCAAACAAATGTAAGAATTCAGTATTGGATCAGAGGACATTTCAAATCCATGCAGAAAGAATGGGTAATATAATAGATGCTCTTGGGACACTTGGCTATTCACTTGAAAAGAAGCTGGATTACTGCTTTGTACTTTACACTCAAGAATATTCCAACTATACTGAAGATTTAAATATAAAACATGAAACAGTGTCATCACATCCACCATTGATGTTACAGTAACTCTGTGCTGATACACACCCTGTTTCCCTTCTTTCTCCTCTAGCTGCACAGCAGACACTTAATGAGCTGACCAAAGAACACATTACTGTATTTGAGGAAGTCTTCACCTATTTAACAAAGATGACACTAGCACCATCACAAAAAGGAATTTGGAACTTGAGTCACTAGGTCAGACTGCAACAGAAGCAAAGTAACAATAGGGGTGATAAGGCCTTCATATATTACCATCATGGCTAGACACTGATGACAAGTTTGAAGAGCTAACATTTATACAGCAAGCAGTGTATTGAGCAATGTTTAAGTATTTTACATATATTAGTTCACTTAGTTCTCACATGAGGTAGTATGATTATTATCCTCATTTTATGGACAAGGAAACCAAAGCCTGAGAGGTTAAATAACTTGCCAAAGGTCACACAGTTGGTAAGTGGCAAGGTAAGAAAACCATCCCAGGCGGTCTGGCTCCAGAGTCTATGCCCTTAACCACTTTGCTACATTGCTTATCTAGGAAACTAAAAGATATAGACAATGAAGAAGAAATCAGTAAAATTTGACAAGGATGGCAGAGGTTACATCAGTACAGCAAAACCCTGTCATGTAATTGCAAAGAGGAGAAAACCTAGCAGCATGAAGAAATAGATAAATTGATTGGAGAAATAGATATTGAATGAAATGGACTAGTATTTATGAAGGTGTTATACAGATGATGATTGTAAGATGAAAACACCATTTCACTCTTTTCCCCCAAAGATGTGTCAGATTGACTATTTTTAAAAAAGATCACTTATTCATTCTGTCTCTTTATAGCAAACCCACCTCAAAAATACCTTCTGTACATACACAAGAAAAATCTACATATATTAGTTGGTGGTCTTTTCCCCCAAAGATCAAACTATACATCTCTACAATATAAGTACTTGTGATAAATGACCAGAAAACAGTTAGTAGATTCCGTAAAGTTGTCTTTGTGAACGATTCTGACACTGATTGGTTTTTGTGCAGCTTGGTAACTGATCATAGTCAAATCTTGAAGGGGCTGACAGGCAGTATTAATGATTTTAGACAATGTGAAACGACTGGAAGGTGTTTAAGTAGGGTACTGCTCTGATTCAATTTGAGGTTTGGAGATATCTCTCTGGGTACCCTGAAGAATGGATTCCCAGGGGACAAGAGTAGATAGAAGACCTGTTAGGAGGCTGTTGTAGGAAACCCAGTGGGAAGTGATAACACTAATGGAGAGAATTGGACAAAGTTGAGATGTATTTTGGAAGCAGAGTTGACAGGACTTATTGATGAATTGGATGCGAAGAACAGGAAGGAACCAAGAATGACTCCTGCTGTTAGGACTTGAGTATTTGATTTATGATTGGTGCTTCCACTTATTAAGATGAGGAACATGGAGGAAGAATTTATTTGAAGCAGTTGGAGAACAAAGCAGGAGCAGAAATTTTCTAAATGATAATTCCCAGACTTAAGGTATAAAGCATATTAAAATTGAGTTGTATGGGTAAATGTTACTACGTTTGTATAGTAACATTTAGGGAAGTATAAGGAGAAATAGATCTTTCTTTTTCAGTCAGCACATTGTCTTATGTGAGTTTATTGCTTTGGTTAATCTAAAAGTCTGCTTCTTTTCTTAGGTAACCCAGGTTTTTCTGCCTTTTATGTGCCTTTTGCAAAGGCTTTGTATTCTTCAACAAAAAGACGCTTTCCAGTTTGGGTTATCAGTCATGCTGGGCATGCCTTGGCCCCCAAAGACAAGAAGATTCTTACAACCTCAGATGGTATGTGTTTGTTAACATCTGCTTTCCTTTACAGTGAGTGGGTGTTCATATTTCTAGAAAGCCTGCTAAGGTTAAGAGTTATACCAGTGGAAACCGCCACTTGTGGCATTGGGCCCATGATGCCACATTCTGGTAATTTTAGGATTTGGGGGGGTCATTTTAATCATTCTGCAGGTAATTTTCTTTAAAAGTTTGGGCAGATCAAGCAGTTTGTCTAGGACTTGCCATCTGTATTTACCTACTAGTAACCAACTATATGTTTATCGATCATGTACTATAGTTCCAGGGTTGTATTAAGAGGAACAGTGAAGTAGTATAAGACGACGTGCTCCTTAGCCACAGTTCCTACTCTAAAGAAGCTCTCATTCTCATCTTTAGAGAGTGATTAAGTGATAAACTCTGGCCTGCTGATTATGTGGATACTTAAGGAGTAAACAAAGGAGAGAGTAAAAGAGTTTTAACAGCTGAGTAGAATTTGGAATTGAGGGGTGGAGGTGGGTGCCTTCTGTATAATAGGCAGAAGGATTAGCATAGCAGGAGGAGAGATTCAGTAGGTACTTGAGTGCTAGGCAGGGTCAGATTGGGAGGAACCCTGAAAGCTGAAGGGAGAACTAGGACATTACATGGTAAATTTCTGGAAGCCTTTAAATGGAGGAAGTAGTACCACAGAGTTGCAAATTACCTGCTTCTAATTCATGAGTATTCTAGCATGTTCACTCTTCTAAAAAAAAAGTGAGATGAGAGGAAAAAAGAAAAACATAATTTCTGTGTGGGCATTCCCTAAGGGTTCCACTTTGTTAATCTGAGGTGGGAGAGAGGTGGCTATGGCTTCATTGCCTAGTTTGCCCCTGGTTCTGGTATGCCTCTCCTATGGTATGAGCATCTTCTTGTACTTATTGAGCATCTAATGATAGGGAAAACCATGTGTGGGGAGGGAGGGAGAAAGAGGTAGGTGATATGGGAACTTTCTGGACTAATCTGTTCAAATTTTCTGCAACTCTAAAACCATTCTAAAAAATAAAATCTGTTAATAAAAAAATACTGGAGGGCTTCCCTGGTGGCGCAGTGGTTGAGAGTCCACCTGCCGATGCAGGGGACACGAGTTCGTGCCCCGGTCCGGGAAGATCCCACATGCCATGGAGCAGCTAGGCGCATGAGCCATGGCCGCTGAGCCTGCGCATCCGGAGCCTGGTGTCTGCTACGGGAGAGGCCACAACAGTGAGAGGCCCGTGTACCACACACACACAAAAAAATACTGGAGGTTTTTAATAATTTTAATATTTACATTATACTTTTTATCATTGTATTAGTTCAGACTCCCATAACAAAACCCATAAACTAGGTAACTTAAATAGCAGGAATTTATTTTCTCATAGTCTGCAGACTATAAGTCCAAGATTAGAGTTTCATCATAATTGTGTTCTGATGAGAACCCTCTCCCTGGCTTTGAGGTGGCTGCCTTCTCTTTTAGTCCTCACGTGACAGAGAGAGAGAGGGAGAGAGAGAGGGAGAGGGAGGGAGCATGATAGAGCGAGAAGGAGTGCAAGCCAGCAAACTCTCTGGTGTCTCTTCTTATAAGGGCACTAATCCCTTCGTGAGGGCCCCACCCTCATGACCTCCTCTAACCCTAATTACCTCCCAAAGTCCCCATCTCCAAATACCATCACAGTGGGGGCACGGGGGTTGTTCAACGTAAGAATTTTAGGGGACACAAATATTCAGTCCATATAATCATGAATGGGAATGTTATGTTTTAAATCTGATCACAGGTATAGGTCAGCATATACATATGACATTGTACCTGAGCAATAGTAGAACATACAAGTTATCTCTTAAAACATTTTTGCTAAATATTTGTTCAAGTTTTATTAGCTTACCTTTGGTCCATCCTCAGAAGTATTACCTTACAGTTGTTAGAAGCAGTCCCTCTGAAGCCTCGATCCTGTTGAGTAGCAAAGGAAAAGTTTCTGTTCTAAGTGGCAGCTCCTTCCACATTCATGAACATCTGCAGGCAAGCTAAATTGTAATAATTTTTTTATTTGAAGAAGTGGGTGACAATTAAGAGGTGATTCCTATTTTTATCCATGTCCTATTTTTGGCAGTTAACTGATACATATGGTCAGGACACAATGTAGTTATTACAGAATTTAAGAAATGAAATCACCCTGTCCATACAGAGTAGATAGATACTCTTTGGTTCTGTAGTTAGTATGGGATTTGGTTCTCTTTTCTTTTCCCTCCTGAAGCCATAGCTCAAGCTATTCATGTGTCATCTCACTGTGAACGTCACAACTCCCTGGCTCTTGATCTCTTAATTCTCACATATCGTGGTATATATCAGCTTCCTGAAATGTTAGTTCTGGTTCCAGAATCCTGTGTTAATTTTAGATTGACTTTAACATCAGATGCCAACTCTTGAGAATGGAATTTAAGCTTTCTTTTTTCCTAATTCCATTTACTCAATTTAATCTTTTTTGAGTACCTGCTGTGAACCTGCCTCTTTGCTAGCACTTAACGGAAAAATACCTCTGTGCTTAAAGCAAATCTGTTGCACTTACATTGTTTATTATTAGGTTATCTCACCATCCAGACTTCCTGTGTCTTTCTTTTTAAGGCATCACATGTAAGATTACCTTTGTCTTGGCTAATCTCCTCCTCTCTGTTAAAACAGTTTCCACTCTCAGTGATCAGGCCCTTGATAAGCAGGATCATCCAGACTTTGTTTCAGCTCTTTAGTTGCTCAGATTTCTTCTACTACCACTTTCACCTACTTTATCTTTTTTATTTCCCTAATTATCTTCTATTTAGAATTATAAATTTACAGATTAAGTGCAATCCCTATATAAATTCCTACAAAAATTACAGCTGCAATTTTTCACAGAAATAGAAAAAAAGTCCTAAAATTTGTATGGAGCCACAAAAGATATCAAATAGCCAAAATAATCTTGGGGAAGAAGATTGAAGTTAAGGTTCAAAGGTGAAGTTATCACACTTTCTGATTTCAAACTATATTACAAAGCTAGTAATCAAAACTGTATGGTAGTGGCATAAAAACAGACCAGTGGATCAGAATAGAGAGCCCAGAAATAAACCCACAAATATAGGGTCAGCTAATCTTTGACAAGGGCACCAAGAATACACAATGCGGAAAGGATAGTATCTTCAATAAATGGTATTGGGAAAACTGGATATCCACACGCAAAAGAATGAAATTGAACCCTTATCTTACACCATACACAAAAATTAACTCAAAATGGATTAAATACTTAAATTTAAGACCTGAAACCATTAAACTCCTAGAAGAAAACATAGGAGAAAAACTCCTTGACATTGGTCTTGGCAATGAGTTTTTTGGATATGACACCAAAAGCACAAGTAACAAAGGCAAAAATAAACAGTTGGGACTGTATCAAACTAAAAAGCGTCTGTACAGCAAAGGAAACAGGCAACCAAATGAAAAGGCAGCCTATAAAATGGGAGAAAATATTTGCAAACCATATATCTGATAAGGAGAATTTCCAAAATATATAAGGAACTAATACAACTCAATAGCAAAAACACTTAATAGCCTGATTTTTAAAATGGGCAGATTTTTCCAGAGAAGACATACAGATAGCCAACTGGTATATGGAAAATGCTCAACGTCATCAGTTATCAAGGAAATGCAAATCAAGACCACGATGATATTATCACCTCACACCTGTTAGGATGGCTATTCTCAAAAAAGACAGAAGTTAACAAGTCTTGGAGAAAAGGTCACTTGAGCAGTTATTTAGGTTACCCAAAGCTTTCTGAAAGGGAAAGCCTTCATGGGTGGGGGTGGCCTAGTTCCTTATCTGGTTGTTTTGCTAGTAGCTGGGTCATTACAGCTGGCAATATGTTTATTCAAAGTGGATGTCTCATCAATCAAAAGCTTAATGTCAGGCACTTAACACTCAGTATGTGAGGTGATGAATGTGTTACTCAGCCTGACTGTGGTAGTCATTTCACAGTGTATATGTATATTAAGTCATCACCTTGTACACCTTTAAAAACAATCGTGTTGTACAACCTAAATATATACAGATTTTCTTTGGAGTCATACTTCAGTAAAGCTGGAAAGAAAAGGGAAAATAATTTTTGAAGCTGGACCATGGGTACATGGGGGTCTATTATACTATTCTCTGGACTTTTGTGTATGTTTCAAAATTTCCACTATTAAAAAAAGGTTTTAAAGAAAGAAAAAGAATTATAGGATCTTAGAGCTAAAAGTATCTACCATATGATCCAGCAATTACACGCCTGGGTATATAACCAAAGAAAGTGAAAACACTAATTAGAAAAGAGATATGCATCCCAGTGTTCATAGCAGCACTGTTTACAATAGCCAAGGTAATGGAAGCAACCTAAGTGTCCTTCAGCAGATGAATGGATAAAGAAGATGTGATGTGTGTGTGTATACACACACACACAGTGTTTTACTCGTCCATAAAAAGAATGAAATGTTGCCATTTGCAGCAACATGAGTGGACCTGGAGTGTATTATGCTTAGTGAAATAAGTCAGACAGAGAAAGACAAGTACTGTATGTTATCACTTATATGTGGAATCCAGAAAATAAAATGAAGGAATATAACAAAACAGAGAAAGACAAGTACTGTATGTTATCACTTATATGTGGAATCCAGAAAATAAAATGAAGGAATATAACAAAACAGAGAAAGACAAGTACTGTATGTTATCACTTATATGTGGAATCCAGAAAGTAAAATGAATGAATATAACAAAACAGAAACAGACTCATAGATATAGAAAACAAACTAGTGCTTACCAGTGGGAAGTGGAATGGGGGAGGGGCAACACAGAGGCAGAGGATTAAGAGGTACAAACCACTGTATATAAAATAAATAAGATACAGGAATATACTGTACAGCATGAGGAATGTAGCCAATATTTTATAATACTTTTTAATGGAGTATAATCTATTATATAAATGTTGAATCACTATGTTGTGCACCTGAA